CGAAATCAGTGGTTCGCACCCTCATGCACATGTCACATTCTAAAATATTTGTTCCAACGAGAATCTAATTTCAATCAATTGAGACCTAAATGCCTGACAAAAATACGATAACTTAGAATGATCGGATTTTAGTTCTGTAAACATATTTGAATTCATCGTTCTTTTTTCTAGGTTATTGTGGGAGTCGATTTTTGAATAACTGTTTAACTTTTTAAAGAAAGACACAAACAATTTTCAAAAAATTGAGAAATCGAAATATGATTTAACGTGAATTCTAAAAAAAATATCGAAAATTGATTCCCACAATAACCTAGGAAAATTGTCAATGAACTCGAATCTTTTTACAGAATTGAAATCTGATAATTCTAAGTAGGCGTATTTTTTATCAGGCTTTTAGGTCTAAATCATGATATAAATACGCTGCATCGAATCCCCTTAATACAAATTTATGATAACACGGCGCTTTGGATAGGCATTTCAGCTACAACACAGGTCATTGTTTTTGTACACCAATCTTAAACAATATACGTGGTTCAGTGTTTATGTACAACTCTAGGAATCCGTTATAGTTATATCTTAAACCGTGTAAGTTATGCAAAAGCAGATCTCACGGCGTATTGTCGTCAGTTCCAAAGGGCAAAAGTTTCCATTTAGGTTACAGCCTACAGGCAACTATAAATAGTTGCCGGTATAAAATGTAGACCGTGTAATTGGAATCATTGGATACAGCCAATAATATATAATAACGAACGCTTTCGAATTGACAAGTTTATTAGACTTGATATGCAGACAACGGGGCGTGGCTAAGTTGGTGAGAACTAAGAAGACTTGTTAGCTGTAAAATCATTACATAGTCATTGGAGATCGGCATAATAATATTTCTTTGTCTGTCCTTTCAATTTATTCGAACATAACCTAAGCCATGTGACTACATACCTACTATTTAATTTTTCTAAATATGTTATATATCTTATATTATATGCTATAAGTTAATAACTTTTACATCATAAATGTTATAACAGGTTGCAACACATAGGTTTCCGAAAAAAAAAAAAATTTAAAAATTTGCGTGGGCGCTAAACTATATGGATTAGACACTAAATTAAAAAAAAATATTTTAGGGTTTTCAGAAATCGTCTTCAAATTATCACTTTTAATTATTTTATATAATGATATTATTGGTAGGTTATGTTTCTATTTTATAATAGATCAATAGCCAATAGGTTACCTAAATCACATTTTGTTATTTAAATCCCGGTAGTCAAGTTTTTTACAAGTAGATACATAGGTAATTTATAATAATTCATATTATAATTTAATTAAGTACCAAAAAAATATAACTTCTCAAACACCGTGTCTAGGGGCACTGGCGGGAGAATGTATTAGAATGTCTATAAACTTGTAGACCTGCTGTTTATGTAGTTATATTTGTCATGCGAACTATAACAGAAATAGAAAATTAGAATATTTACATTACAGTTCACAAAGATTGCTGTAAATGAACATACGATTTATCAATACACCGTATTATAGGTACTGAGTATAATATATAAGTTCTATGGTATGATACAATTCTACAAAAATAAAGACATAGTTAAAAGGAATAAAACAATTTATATTTCTGTATAGTTAAGCATGTAGTATAGGCGTATTGGGCACAAGTTTTATTTTAATTTTAAATTGTACCTAACTTAAATTAAATATTGATATTTACATTTTGTCACATAAGCAGAGCTTGAAGTGGATTAAAAAATGAATACATCAAATGCAATTTTTGAAATAGCAAGAATTATCTGTTCATATTTTTAATAATTTGACATAGCAACAATTCTCATACATTTAATATAGTGAAAAAATATAAATTATTGCGCTTTTCATTAAATTTTAATTTTTCCATATTATTTCAATAGAAAAAAATGTATATTAATATAATCTAAACATCAACAAAAATATAGATGCAATAATAATTTATAAGCTATTTACCTATTATAAAGTAAAGGTATACTCTGGTTAAATCTTGATGCCCAGCATATATTTCAGTACCTACCCCCTCTTTATCTCCTTAATACAATATTTAGTACATATAATTATTATTTGACTGTAAATATTTTAATTTTTGTTGTATGTGATTGATTACCATAATGTACCAACCACCCCCCCAACCAAAAAATCCACCAGGACGCCTAGGCTTCATAAAACCCCATTCACCATGCCACTGCTCTTGTTCAATGACGACTTTTTCGAGTTCTCCTCGTTTTCACTTCCTGTAAAAATAAATAACCTAGACAAAAAAATTTTTAAGAATTTATTATTATAGAATAACTAAATAATAATTAATTTAGTACAAACTTTTTAGGAAAAGGTCTATTTTGTTCACCGTGACTAGTTTCTGTGTTTTTAGTGGGATAATAATTACTATCATGGTTAATGTAAATAGATGCTGATGGAGAAATATTGTTTAATGCACTTCAGTCATTAGCCACAATATCATAATAAGTGTTCTCGACTGAACTAAAAAATAAATAGTATTACAAAATATATTATCATTATTATTTCTAAATTGTAATTAAAATAATAAATAAAAACAATTGCAAAATATTTATCTAAAGTACATACTTTAACAAATATGTAGTGGGACTGACAACAATATTCTTCTGGTTTTCATGATGGTTAAAAATTGTAACACGAGTAGGTGAAAATGGAGTATCGCATAAATTCAGTAGCTCCTCAATACTTTCCTTATTTTCAAATACATAATCATCATTAGCACTGTAAAATATATGATTTAATTATTACCAATAGTGTATGTATATTGTATACATATTGAACCAAATAAATGTATGTAAATTAACATGACATAACAAAAAAAAAAAAAAATTAAACTATTACATAATTGTAGTGTTAAATAAGCAACACTTACTTTATTAAGATTGATATACTTTTGAAATCCAAATTATATTCATTTCCAATAAATAAAACATCACTATTACATTTTGATATCTTAACAGGACATGGTAGAAATACATTCAACGGATGACTTAGTGATATCTTCATTTTCAAATAAATATTTATCGTCATAATTTCTAAAAAAATAATTATTAGTTTATTAAAAAAACATGGAAACTAATCAATTACTAATAAAAAGTTGTATACAATTATATTACATTAATTAATACAAAATTAAAAATTAATTATCAAAAAAATAAACTTAAATTAGTTCAAGTTATTTTTTGATTAAAGGGAGGGGACGAAATACAAAGCCAGACAGAGTACTGTAAAGCAGTGGTATATGAAATTGTATTACCTTGACGTGGGCCGAACTTTTGAAACATAATTAACTAGCATAGTATTGATTGAAATTTGATGTTTAACATTAAATCAATTTTATAATTTATTTACCTACAATCAAAGCAATAATTCTATAATACAGACAAATTGTATGTATAAAAAAATAACTATCACAAGAAATGGTCCCAATACCTACTTGAAAAAATAAAGAGACAATGGGTGGAGATATATCTGCATCCTTCACCTAAGTGAATATATGACAAATTGACAACATTGTAGGTACTATACCTATAAGATAATATGATAAAAAAAATGTTTACTTACTTCATAAAATCTTGTATAATAACATTTTCATCATTTATACCACTGCTAGAAATCTCATTCTTTTGCTCTTCGTCATGTTCTACCTAAAAAAAACTACAAAAAAATAAAATTATATTAATAAAATACTATTATAAGTTAACAATTATAAACATATTATGAAATATAGCTTATGGTACCCACCTTTGCGAACAAGAAAGTGTGTCTGGATGGTATACTAACTTGTGTTTATTTACATGATGCAACCATTGCGTCTTACTTTAGAGTTTGACTCTATTCCGTCAGGCTGCATGCCATAGGGACGTAATGGCAAAGAAGATGAATCCTTTGGTAAATTACTTGTACTGCTTTTAACAGTACCTAATGTATTATATTTTTTAGATAAATTGATTCAAATAGTCCTATACATGGCTTATTCTAAAACTCAGTTGGGCTTATTTTGCGTATTTGGAAAAGCTAAATGCGCACTTAATAATTGATTTTTGTGTTTTTTTATAATTTATTGTTATTGTATTACTAAGATAAGACACCAAATAACCAAATAATAGTTGTTTCTAAATAGGTTTTAATGTGTTATGAGTTATTGCAATAAAAAAACCTACCTACTTAGTACATTTATACTAATAGTTAAAAAATATAAACTATATTTGTTATTAGAAATCGTAGGCAAAAGTCTACTCTATAGAGTCTGGGTTTTCTAAGACTACGTAATAACAAATTTTTTTTAAAATTTTTTTTTAGTCTATTTAAATATATTACCAGGTAGGTACTCATAGATAAAAAGAATTTTATATACAATATGAAGATAAATATAACTGAGTTTAAATTAATCTAGAAATATAAAATTAGAAATTTTCAATTAGTTTTTAAAATAATCAGGCAAAATATTTCATTTATTTAACTAATATTCAGTGTAAAGCCTGACATTTTTGATTTTTTACCAATTGTATGTTTAAATTGCTCAATTGGGCATAAGTTAATTATAATACATAAATAAATATGCATTTAAAGTTAACTATATGATACTTCGACCTACTCAGTTCATATATATATTATATATATAGGTTAGGTTAGGTTATATATACATAAATAAATTCTGGATATATTTTGATGAATATAAAATTAAATTATTTACAGTAAAACCATCATCAAATTATGATATATCACTAGATTTAAATCAGTCCTCTAAAGATATAGTTAAGAACATACAAGACACTAAAGTTTGGACAGCAAGAGCTATAAAATTACTTATAGAAAACAGAGGGGATGCAGAGCAAGACTTTAATAGCAACAAAAAAAACCATAAAATTTGGGATAAAATATCAAGCAAATTAAATGAAAGTGGAATTGCTGTTTCAGGATCGAATTGCAACATTAAATTTCGAAACCTTATGTCAACATTTAGAGACAATGTCCGCAGAGCTAACAAATCCGGAGAAGGTTGTATAAACTGGGAGTACTACAGCTTGATGAACAAATATTTTGGTAAAAAAGACTCGGTTAAACCCAAGCAAAGTACTCTTAATGAAAGTTCCCTACCAAACACTAAAAATTCAAAATATGATACACCTCCTGGATTTGTCACATCTAGGTCTCTTCAAAATTCAAAATCGACAACACGTATTGAAGACAGTTCAGATGATGAACTTAAAGAAGTGATGCCTAAGATCAAGAAAAAAAAAACTTTCCAGGAAACGCTTTTAGAAGAAATGAAAGAGGACCGAAAGTCTCGAAATGATTTCCAAAAAAAATTAGAAGATTTCATGGATATGTTAATTAAAATAGAAACAGCAAAACTCGATAAAATGAATAAATAAAGTTTTTATTGTTTTAAGTATTTATATTTTGTTATGGAGTTTCCTACTATCTGTTATTAAGAATTTTTTCAGTTATTTGTTTTTGTTTTTGTTTTATATTTACACAGTAATAAGCAATTTATTTTAAATGTATACATAATACGTACATAATACATAATTCAATTTTTTTTGTAAATAAAATATAATAATAATATAATAAAATACATTATAATATAAATTATTTATACTTATTATTAGATTTAGGACAATAATTGGTTTCCATGATAGCCAGGTTTTAAATTTAGATTTAAAAGTAGGTAATATATGTCTCAATCTTCAAAAAACCTACAGCAAAAGAGTAGAAATATTTGTGTTAGAAAAAAGTATGCAAATAAATTAAACAGTCCACTTTTTTAATAAATTACCTAAGAGACAATTCATTTCTTTTGTCTATACCATTTCTTTGTGTGACTGCTATTGGAACATCTAGATTTTGATGAAATTCATCAGTTTGAATGTCAAAGTCTTGGTCATTATCTTCAATCTCAAATAAGTCATTGTTCTTAAGAGCCAAATTATGTAAAATACAAGCACCAGTCACAATAAGACTCATTAATTCAACTGACTTTGATTCTAGTGACCTGAAAAGTGAGTAATGTTTTTAGTTTTCTTCTGGTACCTTTATTATATTTAATATCATTATAAACTAAATAAACCACATAATAAACTTATAATAAACTATATTAAATTAAAAATCATTACTTGAGTCTTCGAAAACGCCCTAGTAACAATCCAAAAGCTTGTTCAATAACCACTCTAGTTGAACTTAATCTTTTATTGAATAATTTTTCTCTATCTGACAATATGTGGGTAGCCTTGTATGGTACTAAAAGGTTCTCGAGTAATGGAAACGCAGAATCACCAAGAATATGAAGATTTTTAGAAATCATTTCTTGAGGATTGTTTATTAAAGTTTCTCCTAATAAAGAATTTTTAAAAACTCTAGCATCATGCGAAACTCCCGGGCCACCCAGAAAATATGTAGATAAATTCTAAATGAGCATTACAAACAGCCTAAGAATTTAAAAATAAATAATTAGGTTTTTTCTTAAATATAATTTATAATTTATAATTTATACCAGTAGAACAATTGACTGGAACATTTTGCGGTTGGTGTAGTCACTCCTTTTAGCTTTTGCTGAATGCATGCGTATATGGCAGCCGTCAATACATCCAATAGTATTTGGTACATAATTAATTCGTAAGTTTTTAAAATCTTGTACAGTTTCTTAAACAAAAACAGTTGAATTAAATTATGTTAATGATTACAAAAAATCATGATCTACTTGTTTCTGAACTTCCTCTAGGCCATATTATGAATTCATCAAGAAGGTTTGACAGTGCACGTACATATTTATGTATAGTACGACACGCATTCCCTCTATTTAACCCGAAACGATCACCAACTTGACTGTAAAATGGTCAACAAAAATAAATATTATTAAATAATACCTAAAAAAATAAATCATTTTTGTTAATTACCGAAATGTCTCAGTGTTACTTAAGTACCAAATAGTCATTAGAGTAGCTTTCTGAAAATCAATCCCAGGTCTTCCTGCTTTTATATTGTGAGACTTCTACAAAGGTTGCATTTTACACATTAAAACCTATATTACAAATTATATAAAAAAAAATAATAAATAGTAAACATGAAGTATTTTCTAGTAATAATATTATAAATATTATAAAGGTAAATGTAATTTAATTACCTCAACTGAATTTCTCGTGAGTCTGAAATGACTTTTAAAATCAATGTCATCATATAAACTTGTCACTAACATGAAATTTGTGATACGAGCTTTCGCATTTTTCGAGAGCAGTTGAATTAATAATTTTTTTTTTATATCTAAAGATTTATTTATATTTTGTAGGTGATTTAAACTTAATAATAACACTAAATTATTATTCATTATTTAAGAATTTGATCACCTTCAAATTATTAAAAGATTCAACTTGGTACACACTCAAAACAAAAATTTTAAATTAGTATTTCTGAATTCTGATTTAATTAAATTAATTCAATTAAATGCTTAATTACAGTAAAAATATTTTGATATAAAATATCAATGAACCACACAATTGATAAGACAATGATAATAATTCTGGTTACTGCGGTTAAAAGAATTAACCAACATGTTTCAGCGTTTTAACAAAAAAAGCGTTCCTAAATTTGTATCAATCCACTGAACAATCCGCTAGATTAGATGATGAATTTAGGAACACACGGTTTATTCAGTCTATAAAATATACCGTGCTTATCACTAAGATAGTAATAACACAGAACTGTTCTGTGGTAATAACTGTTATCAAATGAATAACAACAAAATAATATAATTTTATTGTTCGCCGACTTCATTTGAATCATTCGATTAGGTATTTTAATTTTTAAATTTGAACGGAAATAGTAAATACAGACTACTATACATTCGTACAGTGTTGTATTCATACGTTTTAGTAAAAAGTTGCCATGCATAAGTGTATTCTTATTAGTAAAACATCCAAAGTATCGCCTCGCCACATTAGGTACCTTAATTTTCATTTGTAAGTATTATTTTCTAGTTGTACTGATTATATTTCTTAATAATATGGTGCCAGTCTAATTTGTTCACAAATATAGATTTACAAAAAATGAAAATAGAAGGAAATAAATTTTCAAATTAAATGATTACCCAATATCTATCTGGAGCAGAATCTGCGGTAATCATTTCACAATCAGTAATTATACACAAGGCTCAGTATATAGTAGATATTATTATGGCCAGAGGCTGTCACAAAACATAATCCAAACCTCATGTCTGTTTAGATAAGTAAAATAAACAATATAAAATAAATTTTAATAATTTACAGCAACACTGGTACCACTCTGAGCACGACTAGTAAATCATCTAAGAGGTAAAATCTTTTAATATTGAATTATTTTAATATTAATTAGGTAGGTATTCAGATATTTTTTACAACTTTATATTTTCAGAAAATTACAACTATGAGTTTGAAGAAAATGAACAGACAAATCAAGGATTTGGAGACGTTACAGTCGATGATTTTAATTCACCCAGAAAAGCCTTAGAAACTTAATAATGTCTAATTCACACACACTTATATAAGTATATTACTCAAGTTCCGATTTTAAATGTTTGTCAAAGCCAAAAGTTACTTAGTGGTTTTTCTTTTTTAGTTCATACAGTGGATTATACTTATTATGGTTTTCAAAACTGAAATATATGATGTACCATTTACAAGAAACTATTAAGTTGAGCCAATGTGTTGACAATTTTTAGACGTTGACTTTCTTGAAGATAATTATGTACATACCATATTGGAGCGAGTTATAAAACTTAAAGGTGAGAATATTGTTTATAGGATTTTATTTTAAAGCTATTTTACTAACTAACATACGCACCTGTTCACGGGACACATTGTATAATATCTAATTGTGTGCGTGGACATAAATTTGTATATCAAAAGGGCTCAGCCCGTTTAGTCAAAATAAATTAATAAATAAATAATTATATCTTACAATATTAAAATATTCATAACTTGTTTTAAAAATAAAATACAAATAAATGCTGCTTAGTGCTTCTCTATAAGGTACCTTGAAAAATATATTTGCTTTTAAATTAGACCAAGCAAAAGAGCGTATTGAGGAATTAACAGTAGATTTAGAACTCTTAAAGGCTGAGTTTGAGAAAGGAAATGTAAGTGAAGAGGGAGAAGATGGTGCCAATTCTTTCAAAGTCAAGCAACTTGAACAACAAAATGTACGTCTTAGAGATACACTATTCAAGTATAAGATGCTTTTTATATTATTATTGTTGAATAAAATTGATTGATTCCTATTTAGTTGACACTTATTGAAACTTTAGATTACGAGACTTATCCGCCCACGAGAAACACCAAACACAAAACTTACAAAGAGAAATCGAAGAAATAACTAAACAATGTAATGATTTACAGAAGTCTAATGAAGAACTAGCATCTCAAGTTAATGATTTGCATGAACAGGTTTTATATTAATTTTTAAATAGATAGTTTCCAAGTATTAATATATTATTATATTTTAGGTTGATGCAGCTTTAGGAGCAGAGGAATTAGTTGAGCTTCTGGGTTAACATAAATTGAATTTGAAATTAGAATTGGAGAAAGCAGTGACTGATCTAGAAGCGATACAAGATATTAATGATCAACTCCGAGAAGATAGTACAGAGTTGGAAATGCAATTACGTAAAGAATTAGATATGGCAAATGCTAATATTAGAGAGGTTTTAAATAGTATTAATAGCAAACATTTTATTTTTATTTATACCTAAGTCATATTTATTTTAAAGTGTGTCAAAGGAAAAGGACAAGCATTGGAAAGTTTAGCTGATCGGAATTTGGTTATTGTAAAATTTAAAGGTCTGGTTAATAAGAGAACTAAATCAAGATCTACAAACTCAATTAATCGGAGAATCTGCTACAAAAGATGAAGTTTGGTCATCAATACCAGAAATGCTTGACTTTAAGGTTAACTATAAATTAAAATATTTATTACATGGAAAAATAGTTAAAAATTTATTATTTTTATTAGAAAATGTTTGTTTTATATTAATTGGATGAAACACAACAGCAATTAAAAAGAAATTCAAAAGAATAAGAAGAAAAGATGGACCATTTGCAAGCAAATATTGATTCACTAGAAACAGAAAAAGGAGAACTAAAAAATAAACTTAAACATTTCTCAAAGAAAATTCTTATTGAGGGTATATACAAGTGAGTTACCTATACTTTTAAGCTGTAATTAAAATATAGTTCTTAAATTTGAGTTGCATAATAATTCTATATTTTTTCTTTTCAGTGACCGGTACTGGAAATGATAGTAATAAACCATGCCAAGAATCTCCATTCTTACTTAACAAATTAAAGTTAAACAAAATAGCACTAAAACATGAAGTAGATCAATGAGCCAAGCTTGAAAATAATTATTGTGAACAAATATTTTCTCAATTAAAACCTTTGCCTGTAAGTTAATACACTTATTTTTATTTATGATATAACAATATTATAGTAATGACTGATGAAATATTTGTTGCAATATAATAATCAAAATATTTTACAAATTAAATCCTTTTTCAATTTTGATTTCTAGTTCAATTTAATAACTGGCTTGAAAGTTGGGTGGGTAGGTGGGTGAAATAATAGTGAATACCTCTGAGACCTTCTGCTATAATTTTACTAAACACAGGAATGTCATTAAATGATGTACATTTAATTAGTTTCACAGTCATTTGAAAGGGTGTTCATTTGGAAGGAGTGGGAGGTGTGTTTCAATCAAACTATTTGAACTGCCAGTTTTAATAATTAAGAGAATGTAACACGAGCATTTGTTGTCTCCGTCTTACAATTACATAACAGCACATTTAAGCTCAGCAGATCACGTTTGACTTTGTTAGTTTAAATTTAGAGTGAATGAAACTTGATGGTAAGAAAATTATCTTTGTTGTTATTGGAGTTTTTACTGTAGTTAAATTTTTTAGCAAGTTCTACGTATATAATATAGCGTTAATTAAAAAAGCTCATAACTAAAAATCATGTTTCATAATAGGTCGATTCATTCTAATTTTTAAACTAGAAAAGCTTAATGTTTTATGCTGAGCTTAAATTTCCTAAGTTACTCTCTTGTAAGACAGAGAAAACAAATGCCCGTGTTACGTTCTCTTAATATTTTCATTTATTTGAAGATCACGTATCTGTTTTCAACTTTGCTCTAAACAATTTTGAAAATGTACATTTCCAATTATTTCCATAACTTTCTTGTTGACAAGTCATTTTACACACAATTTTTTACTTGCCTCATATTATTTATAATAAGTCTCATCAATTGGTATATTTTGTCATCATTTTAACGGCAGTA